TACGTTTACATGGACACAATCGGATTGAAATCAATAAGATTGATGAATCCGATCAAGGTGTTTACATAAAGTGATCGGGTTGATGTGCGCATTTATATGTCACAAGATTCAAATCGGAATTGATTCTTTGACATGCGCACACTGCACGAATATGCCACTGTTCACGCATAAGCATAACTATTCTCCCCTATGGTTCTGTATTTGTTTTAAACAACAGACTTAATTTGTAACTCTGGTCATGATTTGGAGACGATGAGCATGAACCGTTTTGCCGTGCTGATTGTATTCATCACGCAGTAAAACCCAGCGCCCAAAAGTCGTGTGTGGATGAGAATGTAAAACAAGCACTGGTGGGACGTTGTCCTACTTCACTTCACAGACATGGAGTGAAATGAGAATTTTTTAATAACGGAACATTCATTTATATGACACTTTATTCAACAGGAAGAACAGCTCGTTCCGTGCGTCATACGTACGCTATTTCAACGTCATTGCACATGCGCAGTCCTTTTAGTTTCGGTTTTCAATCCGATCAAGTGTTTACACGTTCTCTCGCTCGGATTACAAAAGAAGTAAATCACCCCTTTCAATCTGATCGAAATTCTAGTCGGATCGAGCTCCATCGGATCGATTAAGGTGTTTACATGAAGGTTTTTTAGTCCGTTTAAGCCGGGTACAAGGGTCTTGAGCAACAAATCATCATATGATTTCTGCAAAAACATTTACAATAATTGCCAAAAATTAAAAATAAACAAAAATTGGTATTTCAGTTATTTAAATCACATTACTGTTTTACTGTATTTTTACTGTATTGCAGACTTTGTGACCATAAGAGACTTTCAAAAACATTTTCCTGACCATAAACTTAGAACGTTAGTGTATAATATTTTCATTTATTTTTTAATTAAAAAAAAATGTTTCACACAACAGAACTACTCGAGTGACTTTTGAAACAAAATATCATATTACAGTAATTAATTCGGAGATTAAGTGCTTTTAAAAAAAATCAACAGGTCACATTTTAAATGTAATATATGTATTTAAGTAAAATTTGATTATATGAAAGCCGAGATTACTTGTATACTCGTATGAACATTCACATGTTGCTTGTATTTCAAAACAAGTCTATTACTGAATGGAAGATATTAGATTCCACAAGAGCTAATTACTCCCTTCTGTCTTATGACAAGAGATATTTGCTTTGCCTATAACCACACATTTAGATCAGGATATAAGTAGGGTTTTGTGCTCTGAACAACTGTTGGCTAAATATAAATCCCTCAAAGTATACTGGGATATGAGATGGTGACGCACACACGTCAGCAGTCAGGGAGCAGTTTGCCATCATTATTTGTCACAACGTCCAGGCTAGATGCCAAAATGTCCATTCATCTGAAGGAGCATGTCATGTGGAAGTCATTGCACAAAAAAAAAAATGCGAGACAAGCAACAAAAGGAATTGGCATGGGAATTAAGCACAACCTAAATGTTTTGTGATGGTTTTTTATCGACAACCGTCCACACTGAAATAATTTTTTTGTGGATTTTTGAAGGTCCGAACAAGGCCAAAATGATTAGGCATCACACAGTAGCAATTCATTTAGAATTATTCATGCATGTTATAAATCACTTGCACACACTCTACAACAACAGTGAAGACACTGAAAATTCACCCTTGCCACAATAATAAATGCCATTTTAACATTTTTAAAAACATTTTTCTAATTTTAAATTGTAAAAATATTACTCTTTATGTATTTCCAATGCAATAATTCAAGCTCTTAAATTTTTGGGTTATTTTTGCTTTGCACATAAAACAAATAAAGCAGACAAATTGCATCAGGGAAACCCTGGAAGGTCGTAGAAGTGTCCGGCCCTCCAATGCATACCCAAATTGGTTCCCAGAGGAACTTTGAGTGGAAAAGCCTCTGATTTCAATAAAACAAGCATATGATAAAACATTCCCACATGCAAGCTCTTCTGACACTCCAGGTTTGGCTTACCTTCCAGGGAGAGGCTGGATTTCCTCAGTTGCACTCATGGAGGCCAAAGGTGATCCAGGGCAAAGCAGCGAGAGGGGAGAAGATGTGTCGGTCCTCGTACTGAGGCAGAAAGAGCGCAAGACGAGCTCGGAGAGACTGCGCAGAGCAAGCCAGCATCTGACACGCACAGACACACCGATGGAGAAACGTGGATCCACACAGAGGAGTAAGGACAGTTAGGACAGACGATTGCAGAGGTGTGATGTGCATTGGGCTTGACTCACTCATTCAGGCTGCACACACAGACACTCTCTCTCTCTCCAATGTTTTTCCCATATGAAGAGTGGCTCAGTCCAGAACGCTGACAGTCCAAGCATGGAAAGAAAGACACTGAGGTTTGATGTTTACCTAAACAACATGGTCTCTCTCACTTTCAATTCTACTCTCTCACTCACTGTTTTCCCTCCCCCTCTGTCTCTTTTCATCCTAGATGTATCATACATGTCTCTCCACCAGGTCCACCCCCTTTTTTTTTTCACCGTTCTTCTTTTATATGTCTTTCCTTTGCCTCCTGTCTCTCTGATTCGCTCGCTTTCTACTGGGTTTAGAGACACTTTCCCTGAACTTAGCAATTCTTTTTGACAATCTTTGCTGCCACATTATGTTTAACATGAGTATGGGATATGGACACGTGAACATGTTCCATATATAAACATGTTGTTGATGTGTTAATCAAATCATTATACGAATTCTTCGGTGCCAACAGCAGTTAAATTATTAAATAGGCAGTTCCAAAAGTGTTTGGATTGTTGCAGTATTTTCTTCAGTTATTGTGTGTTATTCTATGTATTATGTGTTATATAAGTCCAATGTTGTGCACTGGCCTTGTCATGGTTGTCCAAGACAAATTTTCACAAATAGGACAATAAAGTCTATTCTATAATAATAATAATAATAATAATAACAAAATAAAGTTACTTAAAAGTTGGGGGTTGTTAAGATTTTTAAATGTTCTTTAAAGAAGTCTCACCAAGGCTGCATTTACCTGGTCAAAAACACAGTAAAATTTTGAGAAAACGTATTCAATTATTATTATTTTAATATATTTTAAAATGTCATTTTTTTCCTGTGATACAAAGCTGTATTTTCAGTATCATTATCCAGTCTTCAGTGTCAAAAGAAATTGGTACTGATCCTCACAATTTAACAAATAAAATTAGCACAGGTAAAGCAAATACCATCATTACTAAAACAAATTGATTTATAATTTCAATAATCTATACTTTTTTCTTTCTTTTTTTTTTTTTTGCATTACTCAATAGCAATATTAATTCTTTTGACTTTTAGGATTTTCCAATATAGTGCGGACATGTTTTTGACCGTCACCTCTGATGTACTAAAATGAACATGATGCCCTGGCTTCAACTTCAGTGATGCATCCAGAATGCTCTTATTATGATGATTTATTGATATAACTTGTTAGTCTTAAGATATCAATATACGCGATAAAATGAGCAAAGGAGGAGATCATGTTTCACATGACCAATGGCGTAATGACGTGCTCTAATTTATAAACCTCGATGATACTGCATTCAATATGCATTTCTGCAGGAATGATGCAATAAGACAGCTGACTCTTCATTTTTCATTTTCCTACATCAAAAGATTACATTTTTTTTCTGCCATCAATCTTGCACTCATATTGTTATTATTTTGTAAAATGATTTGACCAGATCCCACGTACATGTGCTTAATCAATTCTCACATGTAGCTAAGTTTGGCCGGCAGCAAATTTGGTGGCTGTTGTTTGTCCTAAATATTTTGTCTCCATCTAGTGTTTCAAGCTTTAAACTGCATAGGCAGTTTTCACAGTACTTTGCTAGGGTTTCACCTTGCATAAAGAGCTGGCTGTTTGAACACTGTGAAGATGTTGTTATTGCTGAAAACAGAGATGAATTTAAAGGGTTAGTTTAACCAAAAATAATAATGTACTCACCCTGAAGCCATCCTAAGATTTATATCCTGGCTCTTCCCAGCATTCTAATGGTACCATTTTTTTAAATCCAAAAAAGTGCATCCATCCATCATAAAAGTAATCCATTTGATCCCTATAGGCCTTCCGAGATGAAGCCATGTGTTTCTAAAATATCATTATTTATTATGACTTTATAAATTATGATCAGTCACTGGCTTCCAGTAACGGCCGTACGCGACTTCTGACCCGACGTTTAACATATTGATGAATACGTGCAGAGAGGAAAACAAAACAGCAGTTACGAATTAGAAGCCTAGAAAGAGAAATGATGGAGGAGCTTGAGTTTGTTGCCCAGCTCTATCTGTTTGAGCCGTGAGAGGGGTCTCCTCTCAACCAACCTTACGCTACTCCTTCATCATGCATCGGGTCAGAGGTCACTCTTCCACTGGAACTAGACTTGCGTACGGACGTTACTGGAAGCCAGTGGTTATAGTTCATAAAGTTATAATTTTGGATATTTTTCTTACAAAAATGCATCGCTTCGCATCAGAAGGTCTTTATTGATCCCTGGAGCAGTATTGATTACTTTTATGATGGATGTGCTTTATTGGGCTTCAAAATCTCTGAATAGAACAGCTACTATTCACTCCCATTATACATTTTTTTTATAAATTATTTTTTAAATATACTCCGATTGTGTTTGGCTGAAAGAATAAAAATCTTATACACCTAGGATGGCTTCCAGGTGAGTAAATTATGGGATCATTTTCCTAGATTTTTTGGGTGAACTAACTCTTTACGAATCTCTCTGAGCACTTCTTCAAGTAAGCAGCTGCATATTATATTTCTGTTATCTTTAAATCCTTATTCTGAGACAAAAGCATCAATTAAAAAGACTACAATGATTATAATAAACTTTTTTTTTAAACTCTAAGCTATTTGTGTATGTCGAAAATATTGGTAACTAGGGTTAGGCCTAAAGTTAATCTAAAGTTAACTGCTAATGTTAATCTCAGCTAGTATTTAATTCACTCAAAAAGGGGGGGACAATCTTAATTCTTCAAGTTTTCGTGTTTTTTTGTTTTGTTTTGTTTTTTTGTTCCAACCCTTTTCGTGTAAAGTGTAAAAGTAAAGGGGCAGGTAGGCCTAAAATTTACATTCCGTTGTTGTTGAATACATCGGCCAATTGTAAGTGTGTCGTCCAAAATGCTAAATAAGAGTGTCTTGTACTGTAAACAATATTATATTATTTGGTGTTAAGTAACCCTGTTTTGTAAATTCCTCGTGACGAGCCGCAGCAAACTAAACGCCTCAAAGTTGAGAGAGTTTGTTTATTCAGCGCAGTTTGTGTAAGGGGCGTTTACTCCACTCACCGAACTCATGAAATTGTCAATCTACAAGCAAGATACCACAAGGTCTACTCACGTTGAAAAGTCACTCATTATGTTTGCTAAATAACATCTCTCTGGAGCAGCCATGGGGTCTGACGCGCAAAAGGAGAGACTCCTCGAGCTCTTCCACGCCTGTGATGTGGACCACTCCGGGCGCATTGAGAAATGGGAGTTTATGAGAATATGTTCCGAGCTGAAGGTCCGACCCACCGAGATAGATGACATTTTCTCCAAACTTGACACCGACAAAGACGGCACGATCAATCTGGAGGAATTTATGGACGGGTTTCAAGAGTCACACTTGTTGAAAGACGAGGAGATGAGCAGCGAACCCGCCGGGGAGAGTTCCTCTGCCGCCGTGGAGGATTTTAAATCCCGTCTGGGGGATCAGCTCAAATTCATCCCCAGGTAAAACACACCTGGCTGGCTGTGCCATAAAGCTGTCAAATTAAATCAGTCAACCAAATCCTGTAGAATGTGTTGAGAAAATTCTACAGTAGCTATCCCTATAAAAAGGTCTATAATTTAAAAGTTCCTATATGGAAAATATTTAGTTTAATAGGACTACAACATAACACAAAACCAAGTTAACAAAGCTAAATGTTTTTCTTGTGGTTATATGACGTTCCATAATATTTCTGATTATAAATCTCACAGGAGTTTAGCTAAAGAAGTTCAAAGAACATATTTAAGGTTTTAAAACTCATCTATAACCGATTGCCTTCTGCTGTTTCTTTTTTCTTTTTCTCGAGTTAATGATATTTAAGGCATAAGACATTCCTCCCAGAAAGAAATTTTGCGTTTAAAAGACTTCTAAATAGCCGTCATCAGACGTCTAGGCTCAAACAAGGCGCAATTTTGTCTGTCAGTGAAAATTTAATAGACGTCATAGCCCAAGAATAGACTAGTCATCAATTAGATAAAAAAATAAATTAAATGAGTGAAGAAATTAAACCAAACACCTTGTAATCACTGTTGACTTTGCTTACATGATGGAATATCTCGTAAGTTATTTTGGCAAAAACGACATGTAGGCTAACCAAACTCAAGGTTATTTTGGCTAGAAGTGGGTTACTCATAGCCGGACCATAGTTTAACTAGACGGTTAAATTATGGCTATTGCTTGTTTGGTAAAAGGATTTTGCAAGTTTTTTTTCTAACATCACACAAAACCTGGTAAAACCCACAAAACATATCTAGGCACACAAGGCAGGGAAAGTTTATTTATATATCACATTTCATACAAAGTGCAATTCAAAGTCCTTTACAGAAAAAAATAAATAAATAATAATAATATATATATATATATAAATGGCAATCATAAAAACTTTCATAAGAAATATAAAATATTAGGCTACAATAAAAGTAAAAAGAATAGAAATCATTTAAAACAAGATTACATTAAAAAAGGTATATATATATATATATATATATATATATATATACTTAGTGTAATGAACATTTAAATAACCCAAAGAAAAATGTTCCACTATAAAGAACTTTTTGTGGAATGGAAAGGTTTCATGGATGTTAAAAGTTTCTTCAAGGAACCATCAATGCCAATAAAAAATATATATTTAAGAGTTTTGATGTTAAAGTTTCTTCATAGAACCATATATGCCAATAAAGAACCTTTATTTTTAAAAGTGTGTATTCGGAGATGCAGCTACACTGCTTTTGCCAAACACTGTTTGGTAGACTGCAACTAAACAAAATAAACATATCTTTATTGTGGGCTGAAATGTTAAAATAAAAAAAAGTATCACATATCAAAATGAAAGGGACAATTACACTATACACTACAATAACTAAATATATCTGACCTAGTTTTAGTTTTGGTTATCAGCCTGTGCAAATATCCAAACAGGTACACTGCCACCCATTTACCACAATGTACAGGTCTCCATATATATCCGTGTGTAGAAATATGTGAAATTATTCCCCTAAATGTGGCTGATAAAATATATACTTATTTTTAATTATATATTTATAAATATATATTTCATATTTGTGGTGAAAGCTGATGTTCTAAATCATGAAATCATTCCAAGTCTATTAATTGTACAACTTTAATTGTTCAAGTAATGAGAATTTGAGCTGTTGTTTGGTTGATGTCGGTCCATGTCAGGACGGTGGAGTTGAAGCCAGAGGCTTGACATAAGACACGTCACCGTCATGCCCGCTAATGTCGACAGAACATCGGTTAGTTGTGGACCATCAATACCTCTCTTATTTCACTCATCAGCCATAGCATCTGGCACCACAAGTGTTACTTCATAAAAGAGAACCGCAAAGTCATGAGGCTCAAAAAACATGCAGTTATGAACAACCTGGCACCAATTTATTAGACTCCATTGGGTTGAATATTGCATGAAAAACACATGATTGTCCTTAAGTTTAAACTTTAGCTTTAACCTCAATAACCCGACAAGATGCATAGATGTTTTCCATAAATGTGTGTGCAGAGATCTTTCATTATGTCACAATGCTTGTCATTTTTCGTTGGGCGGTCCCCAACAAAGGAGTTTTACATAAATTCTGCGACTCTAGATGAATCTTTCTTTTCCATTCTACATTTATGTAAGTTTTAATGGCTTGGTGTTGTTTTCATGTGTGTAGGATTGAGCCGGTATCAACTCTGTACCAGAACATCAGTTTGACGGAGCCCAGAATGGTCCCTCAGTATGAACGAGTTCTCCTCAGTTTTATCAAAGAGATCCGAATACTGAACACTGAAATGGAGCATCTGGCACTTGCTGTAAAGAGGTACACACTCTCATGCGCATAGGCAGTTTTCTTATCCATAAGAAGCAATGTTGCATTTGGTATAATCATGAATGGAGTTGTTTGTCTCTCTATGGACTCTTTCAGCCAAGCTTACAGTCTCCTTTCTTTTCTATATGGACTTCTTATTCTATTTGTTGGATTCAGCATTTACCCTAGGCTTGCTATATAGCCTCCTAAACTATGGCACGAGCACAATAAAGCTGACTTTGAGTGAACTGCACTTCTCTGTTTGTCATTCTTGGTCCCCAGATCTCTGTTCTGCATTGATCGTTGACTTCGTTCTGATATCCAATTTTATCTAACACTCACTGAAATACTTCTGCTAATCAGCTGTCAACTATTACCTAAAATTGTGTCCATTAATGCAGATCTTCTGTTGTTCTTACTACTTTAAGTAAAGATAAAGGATGGAGCAAGATTTGTTTTACAAACGTTTGTTACATCAGTCATTCACGTTAGCGCTCGGCCAACGTGCTTTTATTGTTACAGTTCCCACATGCGTACCACAATAAATTAGAAATAAATCAGTTTGATGATGGACATACTCTTGTTAAAGGAGTAGTTCACTTTAAAAAAAAAAAAAAAAACTTTTGTTGATAATTTACTCACCCCCATCATGTCATCCAAGATGTCCACGTCTTTCTTTCTTCAGTCGGAAAAGGTTTTTGATGAAAACATTCCAGGATTTTCTCCATATAATGGACTTCATTGGGAACCACAAGGTCCTTTACAAGGGCTTTAATTGACACCAGACAATGAATAAGGGTCTTATCTAGGACCCTTCGAGTCATGACTCGAAAAAAGATTTGTTCATTTTGATGAACGAGTTTGAACAGGAGAGTCACAGAACAGAGCAGGGCGAGCATTTGTGCTTATAAAACTTTAACTTTTTTATTTATTTTTTAAATGTCCGATCATTTCGCTAGATAAGATCCTTATCCATCGTCTGGTGTCTTTTAAAGCCCTTTGAAGCTGCACTGAAACTGTCTTTTGGACCTTGAACCGTTTGGTGCCCTATGAAGTCCATTATAAGGAGAAAAATCCTGGAATGTTTTCATCATAAACCTTAATTTCTTTTCGACTGAAGAAAGAAAGACATGGACTTCTTTGATGACATGGGGTTGAGTAAATTATCAGCAAACGTTTTTTTTTTTAAAGTGAACTACTCCTTTAATGCTGATGTAGAGGAAATACAGTTGCAACATCTCATGATGAACGTCAAACTAAATAATGTCCTGCTCAAGTCGTCCTTGTGAGGTTTGGGTTCAAGAACTACTAGTTCTTCCAATGTTTCATCATAGGACTTGATAGTCATGATAATGTAAACAGTAGACCAAATCACAACAGACTGGGCCATCTGGCCAATCAGAGCAGAGTAGGCTGGCACAAAGAGGGATTTAGAGAGATTCATCCGTTGAGTTATTTGAGAATCATTGAAAATTGTGGTGATGGGCAATGTATATTATGATTTGACCCTTGATGCATGTAAACCTCTAAAACAATATGGCATGATAATAAGGAAACTTTAAAAAAAGAAAATTCGGTGTCCTTGTTACACGTTACATGTAGTTATTATTCTGTCATCATTTGCTGACCCTCATGTCATTCCAAAACTGTGTAACGGTCTTTCTTTTGCGGAACAATTTTTTGTCCATACAATGGAGGTCGGTGAGAACCAAACCTTTTTGGTCACCAACATTCTTAAAAAAAAAATGTTCCACAGAAGAAAGAAAGTTTGGGTGAACTATTTTGTTAAGAGTATTGTATATTATTACATATGTGATGACTAATGTTTGATATTTGGGTGTTTGTTCAGAGCTCAGGATCAGTCGGCTATACAGTTGAGTGAGATGGAGGAAGAGATGGATCACCGCATCCACATGGCAGAGAGAAACACACGTCTACAGGTGAGGAGACAAACACAAGACCTGGCTGATCCAGCCTCAGGACTAATATATACTGATATAAGGAAAAGGTTCTATATAGAACATTAAAGGGTTTTGTCAGGCGCTTCATTTTTAGACAGTTTAAGGTGTTCCCATCATTTTATGGATTTAGTTTCATTTAATTTATTTTTATCTAATTTTTAATTTAATACGACATTACATTTTTGGCATAATTATTTTTATTTTCAAGAGCAACTGTGAATGTAGTGAAGTTAGGTGGGAACCGGCAAACGTTTCAAACACACTTTAATAAATAAACAAACAAACACAGAACGAAAATTTAGAGGGAGCCCCACACGGACGACTACCACACACACATAAACAAAACACAATGTAAAATTCGGGCCTGGTCCTCTCTCATCCTTCACTGTAATGATATGTATGTGATATGTGAAAATAAGGATATGCTGATGTTATACACACACACACACACACACACATACATTATATAAAGACAAAAACTTTTATGTTAGATGCAATTAATCACAATTAATCGAATTGACGGCACTAATTATAATATAATATATAACTTGAATGATTCCTTTTAATTTTTAAATCATGATTTGTAATGATTGCTTATCTTGAAGGAGCTGAATAAGCTGATATGTTACCAAACATTTGAATGTTTGAATCATTTGAATCACTGTAATCAAGCAAAGAAAGTAATATATAATGGTATTTGTATTTGTATAGTGTTGGTATTTGTATTGTTTCTATGGATACAGTGCTCTGTTTATTGTGAGTTAGGAGTTGACATACACAACTCAAAAAGAATTGGCACAGGCGTTTGCTGTGATCTGGGTTCCAGCCAAATCATGTGAGTGTCTTGGATCACTTTCAAGGCTTAATTTATCCATGACGTCACGTTTTAGTGCAGACAATCTTCGACAGTCCTGTGTTTGTTCTTATTCCTTATCTTAGAGCCGTGTTCCGCGACTTCTCACGTTATGTAATGTAAAATGAACTGACTGTTTGTTTAACTGCACCTGTTCAAGTTCCTGTAAAAAGAGACAAGCATTTGTACCTATGAATGCATTTTGCAGCCTTTTGTTCCCTTAATTATCTTGATCTAATGTTTCACTTTATGAAGCTTCTTAGGTCTTTAAGTTTGTTTGTTTTTTTCAATCCAACACATTTTACAGAGTGTATCTTTTTTTTGTACTTATAATCTTATAACATTGTATTATTTTTAACCCCAGCATATGGTTTTTGTCATTTTCCCCCAGGAGTCTAAAAAAGCAGAGACGACTCTGAGCAGCATGAAACACCAGTACGAGTCTCAGATATGTGAACTTCAGCAGAAGATCCAGACTCTGCAGATGGTGACTGACTCCTACTAACAACACACTTATATACGTAGTTTTAGCTGTATAAAAGTTGGGGTTTTATTGACAATTAATACTGAGTCATATTCAGACACTATCAGATGAGAACTGAAGACCGAATTAAGCTGGGAAACGACTCCATTGTCTTTTGCAGAGCAAATGAATTTGATGAAATGACGAGTTTTGCAGCATTAACACTGTTATTTTCCTGTTAATTACTGTGATGCTGCTTTGAAACAATCTCTTTTTTAGATGGAAAACCAGAACAGGAGTACCAGCCTCAAAGAGGAAACCTCAGCACTGAAACGACAGAACAATGAGCTAATGCTGGTATGGCTCCTATTGATTTTCAAAGGTTGTTTTTATTGATTTTTACAATACATTCACAATCCCTCACCATCCAATATGGAGAATGACGCCCATACTGTCCATTGATTCAAAGTGCAATTGCAAGAACAGAATATACATACAATACTTCCAAACATAAAGCTCTAACCAAAAAAAAAATAAAAACAATAATAGTGGCGTTATTCAAAACAGACTTGTCAACATAGTCAAGAAAAGAACGCCACATCTTTAAAAATGATTTTTCCAATCCTCTTAGTGAATACCTAATTTTTTCGAGGCAGAGGTATGCCTGCTATTTATCGAAGCTTGTTTCCACCACAGAATAAAACATAAAAAAGGTAATCGCGACTTTTTGTCTCACAATTCTGACTTCTTTTCTTGAAATTGCACGTTTACATCTCACAATTCAGAATTGCATGATATAAACTTGCAATCGCGAGTTAAAAAGTCAGAATTGCGTGATATAAAGTCGCAATTGCAAGTTAAAAAAGTCTATTTTTTCCCTCAGAATGGGACTTTATAACACGCAATTGCGAGTTTATATCTCATAATTCTGAGAAAAGAAGTCAGAATTGTGAGATATGGTAATTGCTAGAAAAAAACAAATGTTTCAGTTTATTACATTTATTCCTTTAGCTGACGCTTTTATCCAAAGCAACTTCCAATTGCTATATATGTCAGAGGTCGCACGCCTCTGGAGCAACTAGGGGTTAAGTGTCTTGCTCAGGGACACATTGGTGTCTCACAGTGGATTCGAACACGAGTCTCTCACACCAAAGGCATGTGTCTTATCCACTGCGCCATCACAATTCTGTATTGCAAGATATAAACGATCAATTGTGAGTTATAAAGTTAGAACTGCGAGATATAAACTCGAAATTGCGAGTTATAAAGTCAGAATTGCGTGATATAAAAAGTAAAAAAAGTCACTATTTTTTTCCCTCAGAATTGGACTTTCTCACAATTGCGAGTTTATAACTCACATTTCAGCCTTTTTCATCTCACAATTTGGACTTTATATTTCACAATTCTGAATTGTGAGATGTAAACTTGCAAGTGTGAGATAAAAAGTCGCAATTATCTTTTAAATAGTTTTATTCCATGCCGGAAAACAAGCGTTCCTACTTATTCGAATCTTAACAAAATTGATGAATGATATTATATAATATGTATTTGTCTTGTTTCTCTTTTTCAGCAAAACCAGAAGTTGAAACAGGAGCTTTTGGAGTCCCACACTAATGTTGCGTTCTTGCAGAGTGAGCTGGACTCTCTGAAGAGTGATCTCACAGACCAAAGCATCAACTTTGAACGGTACTGAGCATCTCTCTCTCTCTCTCTCTCGCTTTGTATGTGTGTGTTGCCGTTGCTATTGATGAATATGTAATAAACCCTTTGGATTCTGATCTTCAGACCAGGAATTTTTAAGAACCCCATCAAACATGTATTCTGAAGTAACCCAGACTATCTCTTCTGATTCGAACTCTCTCTATTGGATACGTCAATGTCAATAAGGAAAGAACATAATCATTCCCCCACATGAGCAGCTGTAAACTGGTTTTGTGACTGTTTGCAGTGCTGAAATCGTCAGAGCAGGATATCCTGGTGTCACACATTACACTGCACAGGAATGTCTGAACCTTGTCACCTAGTAACGACAAAACAGAGCGCAGTTTACTTGTGTGTGAATATCCCAGCGTTAGTATAAGGAGTATTAAGCCTGGAACACACCAAGCCGACTCCGACGAACTAGCGGTGATGAAAGCCAACTGTGCTGTCGCCTCTCGCCCGCTCTCGTCGGGGTAAAAAGCAACACTTGAACATACCGAGTGTTCAGTGTAAAAAATGTTGTCAGGTAACCCAAATATTGAATGTATGAATCAACCTGACTACATTAGGTAGCCAGACCTGAAAGGTACAAAAAGCTCCTTAAGATAACAGTTGCAATTTGTTTTACAGTATAAAATTAAGAAGTGGTGTTTGCTAAGGCAGCCATTACCATTTCTTTTGTTTGTGCTTACTGTGTACATAAGAATTTGAACAAACCTCAAACAATGAGTATTGAAGTTTGTTGATTTGTGTGCAGAGATGAGGCTCTTATGAAGTGCTTTTCTGAGGAGAGAGATAACCTGGAGAGACAGATCGAGGTGCTTCAGTGAGTTGAACACACACAGAACTACATGAAACTGCTACCAATGACACTCCAGCACAGCTAGAAACATGTCAGGCTAACAGCAGAAGCCACTTTTGGGATTCACTTGCAGATTCTTTGTGAAAATGGAAAACAAGTCCAAACACTACAAATTCAAAGTGGAGATGCAGTTTAGCTAGTAAAAAAAGTAATAAAAAAAAAATGTAATATGAATGTAATATTTACGTGCCTTTAATCTTAATTTTTAATCCAAAATACTAATCTTTAATCTTAAACATCTTTAAAGTACAACTTTGGTGCAAAATGTACCTTTGGTCTAATAACACATTGGTACCTTGTCAACCGTTCTCAGAGATTAGTTTTCATGATTATCGAATGTAAATTGTTTTATCTCTAAAAACAGTTTAGCCTATAACGCTAGTATAATGCTAGTATATAGGGCACAGAGTAATGACAAATAAAAATCGCTTGTTATTACCACTAACAAGGCTCAAAATAGCCCCACAGTAACACGGTAGCATAATAAGAGTCCCTACATTCAAACCGAAGCATTGAGAACTTTGTCAGTGTCCAAACAGTTTAATAAGAAGATGTTTTATACACACAGTCAACTTTGCAAATACAGGAAGAAGCCATCTTTGAAAAATAGTCTCTACCAGTCGATCTACGAACGCCGATCCAAGTGCGCTGAACAGTGCAGAATTTCATATGGTCCGTTGTTTCCGGAAGAAACACAAACACGAACCGTTTTCTTCTCTTCAATATGTACACATAGCCTACTGTTCGCGCTCACCTTATCACCTTATTCACATCTCACCAGCGCACTTGGATCGGCGTTCGTAGATCGAATGGTAGAGACTATTTTTCAAAGATGGCTTCTTCCTGTATTCGCAAAGTTGACTGTGTGAATAAAATATCTTCTTATTAAATTGTATAGACACTGACAAAGTTCCCAATGCTTCGGTTTGAATGTAGGGACCCTTATTATGCTACCGTGTTAGTGTGGGGCTATTTTGAGCCTTGTTAGTGGTAATAACAAGCGATTTTTATTTGTCATTACTCTATGCCCTATCTACTAGCGTTATACTAGCATTATAGGCTAAATCTGTTTTTAGAGATAAAACTATTTACATTCGGCAATCATGAAAACAAATCTCAGATAACGGTTGACTAGGTAACAATGTGTAATTAGACCAAAGGTTCATTTTGCAAAATGTACCTTTGGTCTAATAACACATTGGAACCTAGTCAACCGTTCTCTGAGATTTGTTTTCATGATTATCGAATGTAAAGAGTTGTATCTCTAAAAACGGTTTAGCTTATAACGCTAGTATATAGGGCATAGAGTAATGAACATAAAAATCACTAGTTTATACCACTAACAAGGCTCAAAATAGCCCAACACTAACACTGTAGCATAATCAGGGTCCATACATGCAAAACGAAGCATTGAGAACGTTGTAAGTGTGCAGACCGTTTAATAAGATATTTTTGAAAGACAATTCACTTGACACGCGAAAGCAGGCAGGAGCCATCTTTGGAAAACAGTCTTGAGCAGTCGAACCACGACTGCTCGAGATTATTTTAGTGATTGCGTATTTTAGTGATTTTAGTAAAGTTGTAAAGTTAGTTCTTGGTCGAGTATATTTTGTTTAGTTTTGGTTAGTTGCTTTATTGTTTTTGTTGTTATTGTTTTCCATATCCAGGGCTGCAAACAGAAAGCTCCATGACAGTAATGACAGTTTGCGTACGGCCTTGGAGAACAGTCAGAGTAAGAGTAAAACTCAGGTAAGAAATTCCTTGTGGCCAGGGCCTTTCTTTAATGTAAATGATGTTGTAAAATGGATTAAGCTATATTTGAGAGCAATGCTTGCTGAACAGGGTAATGCTTTGATGGCTGTGTGTGTTTTTAAGAGGCATGGATTAGGGCTCAAGTTAACTGTATTTACATTTATGCTTATCCACTAAGGACAGAATGATTTTTTTTATAGATATATTTTTTTCTCTTACAGCGTGTTAGTGGACTCTCACCTGGAGTTTATGTGACCAAGAGAAAGAATTCCTCTCATTTTGATCGGTAAGATATTTGCATTGGTATTTGAGTTTTTTGCTACATCCTGTGATATGTAGAACCCTATTGCAATGTATTGATATTAATCACACATTCTAAACCCTAAATACACAAATACATGTTTCTTGCACAAACTTTGTTTTGTGCATTTAGGAAATGCAAATATAGATTCTTTTAACTGTGATGTTGACACAATGAAAACTTGCTTAGATGCTGTAACACATGTGCGGACGAGGACTATGATCCTCATTTTCGGCTGATGGCTGATGATGAGTCTGATGAGTCTCTGGCCCTGGCTCTGTGCGACCCCATGCGCAGACGAAGCTTTGAGGAAGACAGCCTCCCCGACAGCTGTGTGGACAGCGGCATGTCTACCCTGCGCTCAAATATGGGCTACGATTATGAGCATGGGAGATCTTCCTTGAACCTTCTCATGAACTTCCAAGCAGAGGACAACAACACCACTGTGTCTGGAGACACATCAGATACAGAGGTATGATGCCAGTGAATGTGCCCAACCACCATTCCAACACTATGTTCTCCATCATGCGCTATTAGAAATACATACTTCTAAAGAGAGAATATGCACTGTAAAAATGAATATGCTTTATCTAATCAATAAAATTGTGGCAACAGATTACAAACAATATTATTTATTAAATTGAACAAATTAGAATTGAGTAATAGAGTCCCTGAAACAATCAGGCCTTCACTTTAACGGGTTAGTTCACCCAAAAAATGAAAATTCTGTCATCACTTATTCACCCTCTGTAAGACTTCTTTAATGAAATCTGAGAGATTTCTGACCCTCCATTGACAGCTACACAACTACCACTTTGACGCTTCAAAAAGTTCATGAAGAGATGGTAAAACTAATCTATATGAATTGAGTGGACTTAGTTAAAATTTTCTGCTTTTAAAATGCAGTTAAATGTAAAACTTTCAATTTAAGTGTACTTGTGCGTTAAGAAACAGTCTCTAGAAAATACTCTCTTTAAGTACTCTTAAGTGGCTTTTTATTTCATATGTAAGAATTTTGTATGAAAACATAAAAAAAACCCACTTGCACAGTGTTATATATTTCTTTCAATTGTGTACTTACATTATCCTAAATGTTTCCAAGAATTTGGAAATTCAGAGAAATTCACAATTTTAAATAGACGTAATATCTGCTTTATCCTTGGTTTCCACTAGGACTGCCATAGTAACCATGGCAACAGACATGGACAACTGCGTAATGTCTAGTGACACGCTATTGTTTCGTTCAAACACTATGGACCATGGCAAGCAGACTTGGGACAAAAGAAGAAATAAAACGAGGATCAATATCGATGTGCCGCGTTCGAGATGCAGAGAGCTTCAATGAGCTGTCCTCATTCCTTTATATCCACGGGACTCACGTGTGGCACTGATATCTGTCTCTCATTAGCAATTGCCATAGACATATACACTAGACCTCACCTTGGCTACGGCAGTTCATTGGAACGAATGCGTCAATAGAGCCGCCATCTTGAAACAGGGGAGCCCCTCCACTTTAATGCATCAGCTTCAATGTAGTAGACACAGGTCTAACGGAAATAAAATCACCATAAATCATCATGAATGCGATTTTTCTTGTTTTTTTGGTTTGTTCCAACAGTCAGACATGTATTTATCATTGATTCCAAAAAGAAAAAATTATTATTATTTTTTTTTTTAAAAACATTCTTCTTAGTTCAGATTTCATCCGTGAACATCATACGCTGCACAAAAGTCCGCCACCATCAATGAATTCGAAGTAAAGGCAGAGATAGCAGCCTTACCTAGCTACTTCCTATGACAAGACCCCTGTTCCAAGATGGCGGCGGTTTTGACGCATGCTTAGAACCCCAAGGTGAGGTCTAGTGTATATGTCTATGAGCAATTGCGACCTGCTTGATATAACATAGTCATGTTAAAAAACATCAATGTATTAAACTCATCCATAACCATTATTTCCCATAAACATTATTTGATCCATTGGCATGATGACAAGTTCTATGATTCCACTTATTCACTGCGTCATCAATCTACGCCTTTGTTATTGAAAGAGGTTAGCGACTTCTAGCGACGAATATGCTTTTAACCCTCTACTGCATGCATTTTGATGGCACATGGAAAAAAAAAATGATTCCACATCATTTCTTGGCTCATTTAGGAACATTTTATTGATTTATTGAAAATTTCCCTCCCCAAAGGCAACATTGTGCAACAATGGTAATGAATCATAGAGAAAATTATCATTATACAATTCTCAGAGAGCAATACAAAAATCCTATTTCTTTCCAAAAATGTTAAGAAATCATATAAGTAAAAAGGGAAAAACCCTTGAAACTCATCGATCTATTTGATTTGATACAGACATAGGTTTGTATCATGTAGTGCGTCGTCATATCATGTACTTAGATAGTGATCCATGCCTTTATTACATCTAAACTCGTTGTACCTTGGGGTGGCTAGGTCTTCCTTATCCCGCCTACAAATGGTACAAGACGCTGCCGCCAGGCTTCTTACTGGTACTCGAAAGAGGGAACATATTTCGCCCGTTCTTGCTTCCCTTCACTGGTTGCCGGTCGAATATCGTGTCAAGTTCAAGGTATTATTATACGTGTTTAAGGGGTTAAACGGTCAGGCGCCTCAATACATTACGTACCTTCTCCACAGGAAATGTTCTAGACCTTTAAGGTCCTCGAACAAGTTGATGCTTACTTCGCCACGATCTAGACTGAAATTAAAAGGGGATCGTGCCTTTTCGGTCGCTGCTCCACGTCTGTGGAATGATCTGCCGGATCATCTAAGGCTATCTCCCACTGTTGAGAGTTTTAAATCTTCACTAAAGACTTATTTTTTTCTCTTTGGTATTTGGTCAAATGTAATTTTATGATGCGCTCTATGATGGGCTTATGTTGTGTTTATGTTGGTTGGTGTATTTATGTATTTTATATTTTCTTGAACTGACTGTACAGCACTTTGGTCAGCAGTGGCTGTTTTAAACGGGCTTTATAAATAAAAGTGCCTTGCCTTGCCTTACTTTATGGATCCTAATTGTCCCCGTATAAACTGTATTGCCAAACGTTTTGGGACACCCCTTCAAATCATTGAATTCAGATGTTCCAATTCCCTTCCATGGCCACAGTTGTATCAAATAAAGCAGCTACTGTAGGCATACAGACGATTCAACAAACATCTGTGAAAGAATGGGTTGCTCTCAGGAGCTCAGTGAATTCAAGAATAACGAAAAAACACTGAGGCACACGCTGAGGCACACATTGCGCAGAAGTTGCTTATTTTCTGCTGTCAATACTTACGCCTTCCGCTCAAGAACAGTGCATAGAGAGCTTCATGGAATGGGTTTCCATGGCCGAGCAGCTGCAATGTAAAGCATGGGATGCAGTGGTACAAAGTACGTCACCACTGGACTAGAGCAGTGGAAATGTGTTCTCTGGAGTAACGAATCACGCTTCTTTCGACTTTCGACATGTTCCAGGTCTTATATTCATTCAAAACCACAGTCCAATCAACTCAAAAATGATCCCTGACAGGCAATATTTGCTTGTTTATTTGCAAAATCTCCTCAGGCAGCTTAAACTGATGAAATAAATAGAAACAGTCCCACACGCTGTTGTGGCTATACATCTTCATTTTCCAACAGTCAGATTCATTTTTCAGGTAATTGTTCTGTATGATTGTGATTATATGATCGCATTTTTATTTTTTTAACATTGACTCAATAAAAACTTTTTGAGAATAAAAAAAAACCAACCAAGCATACTAAGTATGAATAGTTAATGAATAAATCAAAGGCATCTCTCTGTGTGTTCTTAACTTGCTGTCATTTCTGGATCAGTCAGATTCCTGTTTTAAAATATACTGTTCGCTCAGGTTGTGGAAGTGCAAGAAGAGGCCGCGTTTGGGTCGGACAGCGAATCCGATCTGAGCTGGACTCTGTCAAAGCCTGCTGAGAAAGATGAAGTTACTGCTTCAGGGAAGAAATGCCTCTCTGCCATCTTCACCGAGGTACTGGATTCACCTGCCAGAAGTATCATAAAGGCTTAAATTTCTGAATCCTAAACTCAAACGAATCCCAGTCCTGAGACTCAAAGTCTAAAGCCCAAATGTGTGTGCATCTGTGCAGAGAGAGCAGGATGATTTGGCAGTGACTCAGCCTCCATCTGAGAAGGCTTACAGGATTGTGCTGGCAGGAGACGCCGCTGTGGGAAAGTCTAGTTTCCTCCTTCGCCTCTGTAAGAACGAGTTCAAAGGCAACACTAGTGCCACACTGGGTAAGACTTACTAACACTTAACCCCACTTGAATTTAATTTTTAACTGTCAGGAACATTGTAAAACGATGTTCATTTGTGTCTTTTTCCTGCAGGGGTTGATTTCCAGATGAAAACTTTGGTGGTGGACGGTGTTCCAACAGTGCTGCAGTTATGGGACACAGCTGGACAGGAAAGGTAAGATCCCAGTGCCCAAAGTCAAGTTGAAGCCCAAAGCATATCTATAGTCCTTGGTCCAAACTCTAAAGTTTGTGACACACCAAACCGAGTAGGACTGGTTACACATACATGTAAAAACTGAAGTATAATTTGGGCTAAAGGCTAATTATTCTGGTGTCCTTTTTACAGGTTTCGGAGCATTGCTAAGTCTTACTTCAGGAGAGCTGATGGGGTCCTTCTACTGTATGATGTCACTTGCGAGAAGAGCTTTCTTAATGTGCGCGAGTGGGTCGACGTCATTGAGGTATTTCATCGATGCTGACCTGTTTAACATTTTTTTACTACAGTAATTGTAAACTTATAATGTTTGTTAAGGTTTCATACAAAACAGCCATAATTTAGTTGACTTGACCACCAAATTCTCTAGGAATTAAATGCACTGTTTGTACCTGGTGCGACTGTAGAATTTGAATTCTCTCTGTTCCAAACCCATAAGAATTTAATTTCTCTTTAAAACATAAAGATAATTTAAATGAAATCGTATCTTATGAATCAAGCATTTTAATCCAAGTCTTCTGAAGAGACTCGATCACTTTATATGATGAACATTTAATTTGGGCTTTTATTTACATATAAACATTGATCAGCAAACATAAACAAGCTCAACTGTACTTGCTTCATGCAGGGAAAAAAAACCTCATTGGTTCTTGACGAAGCACAAAATCAAGCTAGCATGCTGTTCCTAAAATGAACAAAAGTCTTATGTTTTTAGATTTACATGATAGTGAGAGTATTATGTTTTTTTTTTTTTTTTGTTTTGTTTTTTTTCATTTTTGGGCGAACTGTCCCTTTAAGACAAGTAGGACAAGCCTTGTTGCTGAAAAGTCCTATGCAAATGTGTTCATGTGATTTCTGAATGAAGTGTTTTCTATAGCTTTTTTTACATTAAAGTTCTGGGTGAACTTTAGAGGAATCTTCTGAACATGTCTAAACAGATTTTTCTTGATCTTCTTGAATTTTTCTAAAGTTGAATATACCCCTAAAGTTACAGATGGGTTAGATATAATAAGATAATTAGATGAATAAGATACTGATTAATATTCTTTTCTGATGCAGGATGTGTCCCAGGATGACATTCCCATCATGCTTGTGGGGAATAAGACAGACCTGAGAAAGGAAGCTCTTCTGGATGGAGTCACCTGTATTCCAACCAGCTACGGAGAGAAACTGGCCATGGTTAGTACTAACTGGATATTATTCACTATGATTTACCATTGCTTTTCTGTTTGTTTTTTTGTTTGTTTGTTTGTTTTTTAAAAGGGATTGTTCACCCAAAAATGAGAATTTTCATTATTTACTCACCCTCATACAAACCGTTTGACTTTGGTTCTCCCCTAAAACACAAAAGGAAAAAAAAACACACTACTGGCTGCTCTTTTCCATGCGGTTTACCATGAAACTTACCATGAGACTGAACCGTTCAAGATGCAAAATGGACACAAAACACCATAAAAATAGTCTATCATAGACAATAAACTATCATATGCTTTAGAAGACTGGACTTTTTGAACTTATAAGGGATAGTTCACCCTAAAATGAAAATTAAATCATAATTTACTCATCTTGGTGTTATTCTAATGACGTATGTCCTTCTTTCTTTTATGGACTTCAAAAGGAGAATTTTTAAAAGAAAAAATGTCCTACTCAAGCTTTTTAATGGTAGTGAATTGCAACCAGCATCATGTGTTCTGGAGGTATACGATAGAGTTTGGTTAAAAAAAATAAATAAAAAAAAAAGAAATTTTATGTTTAGTTTACAGTAATGTAAATCCTGAACTTGGCCGTTGGTCTTCTGTGCAGTTTTTATCGCTGTAAGTGTAACTGTGTCTGCTCTCTCTGTTCAGACATACAGTGCCTTATTCTGCGAGACGAGTGCAAAGGATGGATCTAACATCATTGAGGCTGTTCTTCATTTAGCCCGGTAAGCCCAGTCCATGATTCAAAACTAAATCACATTCTGTAAATACAATACTTCTGTCTGGTACTGTATATATTTTAAAGTCAACATCTGACTCGAATGATACCCGAATAGACTTAAAGGTGCATTTTTACAAAAACATGTCCAAATCACATTCCTCCCTGTATTCAAACGACCAAGTTGAAAAAAAAAATATATACATATTTTCCCCCAAAGACAGTTTATTTTTTTTTAACATATTATTTGTTTTTGTATTTTCATGACTTTAATTTAATTTTATTCAATTGAAAATAAATAAATAAATATGTAAACAGTGATACAATTCATGTACTGAAATGCAGGAAAAACATTAAAATATTATTTGGGAGGCATATTCTTGAAAGGTTTTGTGAGATTCACCCATAAAGCGCTTTCAGAGGAACTGACTGCATACTGTAAGATTTGTAATATTAACCCAAAACACAAGAGGGCAGCAGATTGAGGTTTATTGAGATTAATAATCTGATCATAATGCGTTGATGAACCTTTGTGAAGTGAAAACACATTATTCTGAAAGTCAAACCTTCTTGTGCAATGTTTTGCAGCAAATTTCAGTATTCAGTTCACATCTGAAAATGAGAACCTAGGGCTCCCCAATATATATATATATATATATATACAGTATATATACTCACCTCAAGGATTATTAGGAACACCTTTTCAATTTCTCATTAATGCAATTATCTAATCAACCAATCACATGGCAGTTGCTTCAATGCATTTAGGGGTGTGATCCTGGTCAAGACAATCTCCTGAACTCCAAACTGAATGACAGAATGGGAAAGAAATGGGATTCTGAGAGTGGCATGGTTGTTGGTGTCAGACGGGCCGGTCTGAGTATTTCACAATCTGCTCAGTTACTGGGATTTTCACACACAACCATTTCTAGGGTTTACAAAGAATGGTGTGAAAAGGGAAAAACATCCAGTATGCGGCAGTCCTGTGGGAGAAAATGCCTTGTTGATGCTAGAGGTCAGAGGAGAATGGGCCGACTGATTCAAGCTGATAGAAGAGCAACTTTGACTGAAATAACCACTCGTTACAACCGAGGTATGCAGCAAAGCATTTGTGAAGCCACAACACGCACAACCTTGAGGCGGATGGGCTACAACAGCAGAAGACCCCACCCGGTACCACTCATCTCCACTACAAATAGGAAAAAGAGGCTACAATTTGCAAGAGCTCACCAAAATTGGACAGTTGAAGACTGGAAAAATGTTGCCTGGTCTGATGAGTCTCGATTTCTGTTGAGACATTCAGATGGTAGAGTCAGAATTTGGCGTAAACAGAATGAGAATATGGATCCATCATGCCTTGTTCCCACTGTGCAGGCTGGTGGTGGTGGTGTAATGGTCAGTCCCTCCAGGATTTCGCAGGCCTTTTTGTGATTGTTGCGGCCTAAAATGCCTGATGTTGCGGCCGCTTTTTTAAAAAGTTGCGATAAAAGTTGCGATGTTCTTCTGCATGTTTTTATAGGTTAAAACGGCAAAGATAGATCGATTTTTAACTTAAAATGCCCATATTACGCTTACGGAATGGCCGATGTGGCGCCGACGTTTCGACCGCTTTCGGGTGGCGTCAAAGTTGGATAAGGATAGCGGTGAAGTGCAAGTAAACACGCTTCTCTACGCAATGGGGAGAGAGGCGGAAGCGATTTATGATTCCTTTGTGTACGATGACGGCGGAGAAGATGAAGAGGAAAGTAAACCGGAATTGGACTACGACACGGTGATAGCCAAATTCTCCGATCATTTTGTGCCCAAGAGAAATGTGATACATGAAAGAGCATGTTTTCACAAGAGAGCACAAAAGCCTGGTGAGTCAGTCGAGGCTTTTGTAAGAAGTTTATATGAACTGGCACAGTACTGTGAGTTTGAGCACACTAAAGATGAGCAAATCAGGGACAGAATAGTTATTGGTATATCTGACAACGATGTTTCACAGAAATTACAGCTCGAGCCTGAACTCTCTCTTGAACGAGCTATTCAAATAGCGCGCCAAAGCGAACAAATAAAGCAACAGAATGTGAGCCTGCGGTCGGAGTGTGCAGTAGACGCCATGAGACAGGGGAGGCGGCCGTTCCACAGCAGAAGGAGCAGTAACAAGGGACAATGGCAGAAAAAACAAGAACACAGTGAGTCAAAACAGCATTCTACCTGTTCCCGCTGTAACAGACAACATGGTAAAATACATCCTTGCCCAGCAAAGAATAAAAAGTGCAGAAGGTGTAATAAAATTGGACATTTTGAGGCAGCTTGTCAGACGAGGATGCTTAAAGAGGTTGTTACAATGCCTAGCAGCACCACTAACACAGACGAGATGTTTTTCCTTGGAGAAGTTACTGAAAATGTGTCAGACATAATGGATCAACCTGATTCAGAAAATAAGTGGCTCGTTGACTTACCTGTTAATGGCAGCACTGTGAAATTCAAAATAGACACTGGGGCGGATATCAGTGTTATATCACAGGCTGCATTCATGAGACTGCCACAGCGCTCCCGCCTGGTCACTGCAACGAAAGGACCCATCACCAGCCCCGGTGGCGAAGTTAAGAGTATTGGCAAGTTCCTGGCAACAAGTGAGTACAAAGGAGAAAAGTACAGATTCTGGATAACTGTAATTAAAGGGCCATACTCTCACAACCTCCTGGGACGGAGTGTTGCCACAAAAATGGGACTGGTCATGAGAGTAGACGGGATGGACACTGTAATGCTAAGTCAGGTGTTTGGGTATATTGGTTTGCTCAAGTGCGACCCCGTAAAAATCTAACTTAAAGCTGACTGTGAGCCCTACTCACTGACGACGCCACGTCGCATCCCGTTCCCCCTCCTGGCCAAAGTAGAGGCGGAACTTAAACGCATGCTGGCCCTGGGCATAATTGAGGAGGTTACAGAGCCTTCTGACTGGTGTGCCCCGATGGTTCCAGTCGTGAAGAGGAACAAGGAGCAAGTGCGAGTGTGTGTCGATCTAAAACGCTTAAATAAGGCGGTTAAGCGAGAGAGGTACATCATGCCAACATTAGAGGATATTGCTCCCAAGCTAGCCGGAGCTAAAGTGTTCTCTACCCTTGATGCCTCCTGCGGATTTTGGCAGATCCCCTTGGATGCTGCAAGCCAAAAGCTGACTACCTTCATCACCCCAATGGGAAGATTCTGTTTCCGACGGCTGCCATTCGGTATCACATCGGCTCCAGAAATCTTCCAACGACAGATGTCGACACTATTAAGGGGTCATGATGGAGTTGTCGTAGTAATGGACGACATACTTGTTTATGGAGCAACAAGGAAAGAGCACGACACCCGTCTTGATGCGGTTCTGATGACCATAAAGGACAGTGGTTTAAAGTTGAATAAGGCCAAGTGTCATTTTGGCAAAGCAGAAATAAAGTACTTTGGCCACCTCATAAGTGCAGAAGGCATGAGACCTGACACTGAAAAAGTTAAAGCCATCACACAGATGCCAAGCCCAACCAATGTTACGGAGCTTAAACAGGTCCTGGGTCTTGTCAACTATGTTGGAAAGTTCCTGCCTGGCCTCTCCTCACAGCTGCATCCCATCACTGCCCTGCTCAGGAAAGAAAGTGAGTGGGTGTGGAGTGATGTTCAAGAAGCGGCGTTTGAGAAAGTGAAAGCTATGCTCGTGTCAGCACCAGCACTTGCATATTATGATGTCAACCGAAAAACTGTCATCAGCGCCGATGCGAGCAGCTATGGATTAGGTGCGGCTTTATTGCAGGAACACAAGGGTGTGTTAAGGCCAGTTGCATTCGGCTCCCGCACATTTTCAGATGCAGAGAAGAGATACTTCCAAATTGAAAAGGAGTGTCTTGCGGGGGTGTGGGCATGTGAGCGCTTCGCTCGCTATGTGCAAGGCATGGAAAACTTCCTTCTACAAACGGACCACAAACCACTGGTACCCCTCATAAATACATACGACCTGGACAAAGTCCCTCCAAGGTGCCAAAGACTCCTAATGCGCCTACTGAAATTCAATGTTGTGGCTGAGCACGTCCCGGGAAAGCAGCTTATCATAGCCGATGCTCTCTCTAGGAGCCCACTGACTGACAGTAGTGATGAACACACTGACCAGGACGTTCAAGCATATGTGGAGTCAGTGGTAGAGAATGCGCCTGTTTCATCGAAAAAACTTGACAAAATCCGCTCCGCCACACTAGAGGATGAAGAGCTGCAAAAGATTGTGCAGTTCATTAGAAATGGATGGCCACCAAGGACATCGCTGTTTCCATCCCTGCATGGATATTATTCTGCCAGAGCTCACCTCTCTGAGACCGATGGACTAGTGTTGTATCAAGATCGACTGGTTATCCCAACTGCACTTAGGTCAGAAGTGCTCAAACAGCTACACGAGGGACACCAAGGTCTAACAAGGTGTCGTGTTCGAGCTAGGATGTCAGTATGGTGGCCTCGTATCAGTGCAGAGATTACAACGACAGTGTCAACATGTAAGTTCTACATCGAAAATAGACGCACTCAAAGACGGGAACCGCTCCTCACCACACCTTTACCTGGGGGACCCTGGCAGCGGATTGCTGCTGATTTGTGTGAGCTGGAAAGACAGAATTATCTCATTGTGACTGATTATTATTCCAGGGACATTGAAATTTCCCACCTGTCTTCAACATCCAGCCACCAGGTCATTACCAGGCTCAAAGGCATGTTTGCAAGATGGGGGATACCGCTGGAGCTGGTGAGCGACAATGCCACACAATTCACCTCGGGTGAGTTTCAAGACTTCTGCCAAAGCTACGGGTTTGTGCATGCGACTACCAGCCCTCATTACCCCCAAGCAAATGGTGCTGTCGAGAGAGCTGTGCAGACTGCTAAGCGCATTCTGAAGCAGCCTGATCCATATCTCGCTCTAATGTGTTACAGAGCCACCCCTAGCGCTGTTACGGGGGTGAGCCCAGCTTTACTTATGGCTGGAAGAGACATTAGGACCACACTTCCTATGTTGGAAGAAAAACTACAAGCTTCTCCTGTGGACAGACATCAAATTCAGCAGAAGGATGCTCAGGCTAAATCAGCCTACCGGTTCTTCTACGATCGCCGTCACTCTGCTCTGCCACTTCCTGAACTCCAATCTGGGCAGGCCGTTAGAGTGAAATTGGATGGAGAAAAGGGGTGGAAAATGTCTGCGAAAGTCATTAGCAAGTGCAGCGAGCCCCGGTCTTACATCGTAAAGACAGACAACGGTGCAGTGCTGCGATGCAATAGAAGACATCTGCAGGCAGTCCCGGAGCTTGCTGACTCTCCAGACCAGCCGCAACAGTCTGAGGGATCTCCGCTGCAGCTGCCCAGCAGCCCTCCTTCTGTGGCCAGACCCAGTCATGGTGACCCTGCTTCAGTTCAGAGACCGAAAGATTCACCTGTGGTGTGTTCACCACACCAGCCGTCCCCTCAGAGAACTGTTCAAGTGACATCCAGAGGTCGTGAGGTCAGAATACCTCATAGATATAGAGACACTTGAACACTTATTGATACTTATCTTCACACTGTTCCTCAGTATTTCTGTTTGAGTGATAAGTACAGTTAAAAGCTACATTATGTTCTTGAGTTAAGTTTCATGGGAATAGATTGTTATGCAAAGATCCGATAATTGACAGAATAAATAGAAATTAAGTTGAGATCAAGAGATCACAATAAGTATGCTGACGTGATTCATCGACCACCCAGAGACTGTTATGTTCAGGTTTATCTCTATTTGATGTGTAGTACATCTTGTTTAACTGGTGAAGCTTTATCTTTTGAAAAGGGGGGAGATGTTGTGATATGTAACTACAGATTATGGGAGTCGCGCATGTGTGACGTCAGTGAGGCGCCTCGGGAAGCGCGTAATGCATGTGACTGTGTTATGCTCGAGTAATTTAGCTGTAGCTATACGAGTCAGTTAATAAACAGTTCTTTGCCAGCAAGACGACTTGGTTCCTCTTTCATCTAAAAAGCATCGACACATGACAGTTTATATTTTAACAAAAAGAATAGGGTAAAACCCTGGTTTAATTAGATCACAGAAATTCACAAAAGAAATATAAAAGCTTTTCCCTTATCTCAATATTAACCCATAAACAAAATAAATGACCAAAATCTTCTCTGAACACTTGAATAATAGCCCCTTTAAGCTATTAAGCTAGCTACAATAGTTTCACTCACATGTTTGAGACAATATAAGTGGTATAGCAGTTTGGACTAAATCTCTATCCACACAGGAAAATACACAGAAAGCTTTAAAATAAACAAAACAATACCGTCAAGTGTCCTAAAACAGGTACTAGCAAATGTAGTGGTGGGCCCACTCACACACACGCGTTTCAGTTTACTCACGGTCCCGTTTTACTGAACAGGGAAAACATGTTGCAGGCCTGTTTGGGTCTCGCAAAACATTGAGTGCGGTGAACAAACACTTGAAAAAAAAAACATTGAGAGCGTCGAAAACTTCGGTCCAGCTGTTCATGTACGGTGCGATTAACCGTCAGTTCCGCCCAGCAAAACACCACGGTGGCTAGCGATCTCGACTAAACCTCAGATTACAGCTCGTGCTCTGTCTCTCGCGCTCCGTCAAACGGGTCTTCAGCGTCGTTTCTCACTCTGTCTCTCGGTTCACCAACATCTCGAGTCCGCGGTCCTCCCGATTCATGAGTTACCCGCACTTCTTTGCGTCTTATTTCTCTTCTCCCGTGCCTGCGTCTCGTGCTCCACACCACACGGGTACAGCGGGAAGCGCGGAAAAAAACTAAACTTCCAGCACTTTCTCTCACCAGGTCACGTGCATCTCTTCCGCCAAACACTATTGGCTATACAGCGTAAATACTCAAATTACCAATACAATTAGTAACATAAAAACAGTAAAAATAAAGTAATAAAAAGTTAAACGGCCTAAAACATCTTCCAAATATTATTTAACTAAATAATAGGCTATAAACTTTTGTTTAAATTACTGTCACAAAATAAAATGACCAAATATCACTCTCCTTTTAATTACGTAAAATTAACTGATATTTGCTTATTTAGAAGTCAGGTGTCTCCTCATTATTATTTTCCAAGTAAATAATCGTTTACCCTTTTTTTTTACTCCACTTTTGAGAGTAAGAGAGATTCATTACAACCCACCGACTCCCAGTGCACTATAATACCCAAGTTTATCACTGGGCTACATATAATTATTGTTTAATTAAAAAAATGCTATTACTTTTCTTTCATAATCATTGGAAGCCAAAATTAAATTTAATTGCCCAGTTCTACTGTTACCAAATTCACTTCCCAGCATGATACTTTCATAATAGCCTATATTACATTTAAAACTCAAGACTTAAAAGGTTAAATGTTTTCTCTTTCCTGCACTTTAGAGAGGTGACCAAGCATGCTGATGAGTTCAAGAAGCCCGTATCAGTGGCCAAACTGTCTGGAAACCCTAACAAAAAGATGCCAAGCCCAAACTGCTGCATGGGCTGATGCGTGGGCACGTCACATGACCCAGCGACAGCCCGTAAGCAGATACGAAGTGAGGCTTGGACATAGTGCTAATCAAATATTTAATCTTTCAACTATTTATTCAAGACACATGACATGGGAGATGCCGGTTTGCGATTGTCCAAGTTGTTTTTTTACTGTGCTAAATGTGTTCAAGTATTGTCCTCAGGACTGTCTCATAGCTGTGTGTCATGGGTTGCCTTTAACTGCCCTGCATTTCACAGCTTTTATATTACAGCCAATTATTAGTAGCTTATGAAGTGAACACACACTGTGTCAGGATTTTAGTACGCTGCACTTTGCCTTTATTTATTTCATGAAATCTTCCTTTAGCTAAGAGAGAAGGAATATATAATAATAGTTCTGTAAGTGTGTGTGGTAGAATGTGAAAGTTGAAGTAATGTGAAAAGTTCTGTTTAAGTTCTAAGAAGTGTATGAAGTTGATGGAAGTTGATGCCTGATGCAAAGCCTTCATTTTTGGCTTGTAGCTTTAAATTGTAAAGTTTAAAAATCTTCCTATATTTGCTAAAGCATTTTAAAACAGATTTTATCTTTATACTATCATTGCTTTATGAATTTCTCAAGAGCACAGCTCATATATGTAACACTATATTGTGTAATAAACAGTGCACACTTAAAAAAATGTAATTAATGTTAAATGTATTCACAATTATATGAATGACATGCAAATGTCTTATATGTAATTCTTATTTCCTGCTTATTCCACTGTATTTAGTATTTAGTGCATTTATAATTGAGTGAATGTTGGTTTTAAATTTGAAATAATACGGAAAAATAAAGACCGCAATGTTTTCACTCCAGTTTTATTGTGGCAGTACTAACATATAAAACAGTTCCATTTTTTTGAACATATAAACAATCAAAAATCACTTTACAAATTTAATAAGGCGATTCCCAGTGAATCTGGGAACTGATTTCTTCTTTTTTTTCTCCCAGAGTTGTATTTTTGGATTTAAGTGACAGACTGTTTTAAACTGAAACATTTCTAATAATGCCGCTAAACATGCAAACAAAACACATGTCACATACGCTATGCAATCACCAAACACTGAAAAGATTTCAAACCTCTAAAGAAAAAAAAGTAAAGTTGAACACGCATTTTCCAGATGTTCAGTTCATTTGCATATTTTCTTGCTTTGATGTATAATTATTATGTCTTTTTTAAAGGGCAATGGGTTGGGTTTATGTTTAGCCATGTTATGTAACAATCATCTGGGTTGTTTTTTTTTTTTTTTTTTTTTTTTTTTTTTTTTTTTTTTTTGCCACAAAGCTCTGATCAAGATCTAGATCTTGAACAGGAATTGGTGAATGTTTTCTTTTTTTTAATCAGTGTAAAGAAATAACCAGTACAGTCAACTCTAAACTGTCATCCAAAAGGGGGAATTTCACTTTTTTCAAATCATATTTCATATATATATATATATATATATTGTATATATATAGTCTATTCAAAGGATCATTAAGATTTTTTGCATTGTGACATTATGCTCATAATTAAGGACATTTCCCTTCCAAATCCTCATTACGGTAATGCATCCGGATGATTTAATTTGAATTTGTTTGTAATTCTCATGATTCTCAATGATGATTCTCATTATTGTAATGAGAGCAAAGACAGGCAATATTTTTTTGTTTGTTTGATCATGATGTGGGAACAAACAAAATTCTGCAATTAATTTATTAATAAATAAATAAAGCTGATTATTTGAAAACATTGAAATTGCGATATTTTGCCTTTTGAATTTCAATTCCTATCAATGTTCAGTGTTGTGGACAGTATTGTCCACTGGCAAATAAAATCACTTCCATCAAACATGACGAAACGAAGGGTTCCCTTGAAATCTTGGTGTCCCATCATGCAACAGAATAGCAAGGCCACAAAAAAAATACACAGCAAATTCCAGTGCATGACATTTCTGAATGCTGTATGAAATAAGTTTACCCTCTGGCCAATTAAAATGAGTTTGGACATCTATATTTTGCCACACTACAATATACGATAGGAGATGTTCAGGATAATAGGCAAATTCAGTCAACCTGCTATTGCCTGCCTTAAAACAAGTTGGTGATCTCTGGCTTTATCTAGCAGTTTGACTGAACGTGGCCACTGGTTCTCTGGTTTCATTGGTCAGGATAACATACATTAAAGCACAAAGCATGACTTATCTATTATGTACATATTCCACATAGTCTATGTGATGTTTTTTTAATGCAATGAGAACTACAACTTTCACGGCAGCATCAGAACAAAGCATTAATGTTGTATTTATATTATGGTCTGTTTCATGAACCCATCAATATGACTCAACCCTGAGCTGAAAGTCCAGAGAAACCTGAACACAGGTAGAAAAAAAGCCTTCATGTCTTTTCATAGTTCTATGATCATATACAAGTAAGACTAGTTGAATACACAAGGTCAGACGCTTGAAATGAGAATGATATTTTCTCTTCACAGTATTTACAGAGGTATACATGCAGAGCGACAAACAGTCAGCGTTTTAATGTACAGTGTATGTAGACACTACCGAAAAGTTTGGACACACCTTTTCTTTTCAATTATTCTAAAATGTGGATAATAATAATCATTGCCACTATGAAATAACAAATGGAATTATGCACAGACCAAATCAAATTTAAATGATTTCTTAACTCAAATTTAAATTTGTGCTTCCTTGTCTAGATTGTGAATTTCCACACTCCAACTCCAACTTACAAAAAGCGCGTCTGACTCCAGATCAGAAGTTTGCGTGTTCAAATTACGTCGGGGTCAATCAATCTCAAATTTGAGTGCAAGTCTTTAATAAAATTCAAGAATCCTTGTTGCTAGACCCTATAAAGAGCTCAGCAATTTTTCAGGCGCGAAGGGCCTTGTGGCGCAACGGTAGCGCATCTGACTCCAGATCAGAAGGTTGCGTGTTCAAATCATGTCAGGGTCAATCAATCTCAATTTTGAGCGCAAGTCTTTAATAAAATTTAAGAATCTTTGTTGCTAGACCCTATAACGAGCTCAGCAATTTTTCAGGCGCGAAGGGCCTCGTGGCGCAACGGTAGCGCGTCTGACTCCAGATCAGAAGGTTGCGTGTTCAAATCATGTCGGGGTCAATCTTTCTCTAATTTGAGCGCAAGTCTTTAATAAAATTCAAGAATCCTTGTTGCTAGACCCTATAACGAGCTCAGCAATTTGACTACTGTGAAGGGCCTCGTGGCGCAAAGGTAGCGCGTCTGACTCCAGATCAGAAGTTTGCATGTTCAAATCACGTCGGGGTCGATCAATCTCAATTTTGAGTGCAAGTCTTTAATAAAATTCAAGAATTCTTGTTGCTAGACCCTATAACCAGCTCAGCAATTTTTCAGACGCGAAGGGCCTCGTGGCGCAACGGTAGCGCGTCTGACTCCAGATCAGAAGGTTGCGTGTTCAAATCACGTCGGGGTCAATCAAACTCAATTTTGAGTGCAAGTCTTTAATAAAATTCAAGAATTTGAGTTGCAAGTCTTTGAGTGCAAGTCTTTAATAGAGTGCACGTCGGGGTCAATCAATCTCAATTTTGAGTGCAAGTTTTTAATAAACTTCAAGAATCCTTGTTGCTAGACCCTATAAAGAGCTCAGCAATTTTTCAGGCGCGAAGGGCCTTGTGGCGCAACGGTAGCGCATCTGACTCCAGATCAGAAGGTTGCGTGTTCAAATCATGTCAGGGTCAATCAATCTCAATTTTGAGCGCAAGTCTTTAATAAAATTTAAGAATCTTTGTTGCTAGACCCTATAACGAGCTCAGCAATTTTTCAGGCGCGAAGGGCCTCGTGGCGCAACGGTAGCGCGTCTGACTCCAGATCAGAAGGTTGCGTGTTCAAATCATGTCGGGGTCAATCTTTCTCTAATTTGAGCGCAAGTCTTTAATAAAATTCAAGAATCCTTGTTGCTAGACCCTATAACGAGCTCAGCAATTTGACTACTGTGAAGGGCCTCGTGGCGCAAAGGTAGCGCGTCTGACTCCAGATCAGAAGTTTGCATGTTCAAATCACGTCGGGGTCAATCAATCTCAATTTTGAGTGCAAGTCTTTAATAAAATTCAAGAATTCTTGTTGCTAGACCCTATAACCAGCTCAGCAATTTTTCAGACGCGAAGGGCCTCGTGGCGCAACGGTAGCGCGTCTGACTCCAGATCAGAAGGTTGCGTGTTCAAATCACGTCGGGGTCAATCAAACTCAATTTTGAGTGCAAGTCTTTAATAAAATTCAAGAATTTGAGTTGCAAGTCTTTGAGTGCAAGTCTTTAATAGAGTGCACGTCGGGGTCAATCAATCTCAATTTTGAGTGCAAGTTTTTAATAAACTTCAAGAATCCTTGTTGCTAGACCCTATAACGAGCTCAGCAATTTTTCAGATGCGAACGGCCTCGTGTCGCAACGGTAGCGCGTCTGACTCCAGATCAGAAGGTTGTGTGTTCAAATCACGTCGGGGTCAATCTTTCTCTAATTTGAGTGCAGTTCTTATAAAAATTCAGGAATTTCCTTGTTGCTAGACCCTTGAATCACGTTCAGTCTCTTGCACGTTATGTGTGAATGAGTACGAGCAATAAGCTGCTGGCTGCAGTTCACTGAATGGCCACCGGTGTCACTAATAACAAGGGTTTATGAATTTTACATATAGCCCCTTTAAAATTAATTAAATATTAGGTCTCACTTTATATTAGTTGTCTTTAACTACTGTGCACTTATTTCTTATTATATATATATATATATATATATATATATATATATATTTAATATTTATTAAAAGATCAGAATAAATGAAAGTTAATAAATTATATTAATTCGGATTAACTAATGGTATTATTTAATATCATGAAAAAATTCTGTCAAGTGTGTCCAATATTTGACTTGTAGTGTATACATGTCATTTAATAAAAAAAAAAGATTAATTTACATTGATGAATAATGACTACAGTAAATCACAACCTTATACATTATGTAGGTGTTGTGTTATTCTGATATTGATTTGATGATGCACATATTGTAATGTTAATATATTGATTAAATATGAGCCTGTAGGAATATCAACCACACAATGAGCCACAAATAACATACAATAGCAATCAAATATTTTCTCTGCGATAGCATATCCATATAAATGCCTGTCTGCTAATATGCATATTTGTTTTCTTTACTTTTCGTTTTTATCAGAAAATAAACCGCTTTTTAAAGATCCTTCAGTATTTGACATGCGTTCCTGAGAGAGCCACCTGCTGTTAGACAGTAAATATCAGCGATCAGCGTTTTTTATTTAACTCAATATAGTTGACAGAAATGTGTCATTAGCCCTTTTGCTATCACCTCAGCAACAGATGTGACATCACATCAGATTTGCATCACAAGTAGCCGTGTTGATTTGATTAGTTGATGTGGTCAAAGCCCTGTGTCAGGCAGATCAACGTCAGTCTGATCCTGGACCGCTGAAGGAAACACTAACGCAATCGTGCTATGTATTATCATCTTAAAGGGATAGTTCACCCAAAAGGAAAATTCTCTCTCATCAATTACTCACCCTTATGCCATCCGATGTGTATGACTTTATGTCCTCGGATAAACACTAATTTTTTTAGGAAAATAATCCATCTCTGTGAGTCCATATGATGCAAGTGAATGGGATTTAGCCAAGCGATAGGTTTAAGAAAAAGACTTATATTTTAAACTCTTTTAACTTTCAATCATTGCTTCTGGTGTACTTTCATACGAGCGATCATGAGAGGGACGTTGACACACTTACAGTCATGGTTGGATTATTGGCACCCTTGGTAATATGAACAAAGAAGCCTGTGAAAATAACATCTTCTTTGTTAATCCTTTTGATCGTTAATTGAAAAAAAGTTCACAAAAATATAACTTCATTGAAGTAAAAGAATTAAAAATGTTCTCCAATACATTTAATGGAACCCTTTTATTCAATACTTTTGGCAACCTCCTTATGCCAAGAAAACAGCACTGAGTCTTCTCCTGTAATGCCTGGTGAGTTTGGAGATAATTCTCTGTACAGAATCTCTCCAGGTCCTCCATGTTGGTGCATCTCCTCTTTAGTTCAGCCCACTCATTTTCTATAGGGTTCAGGTCATGGCTAAATTTTGTGCTCAGTGACCCATTTTTGTGTTGATTTTGACATTTGTTTTGAATCATTGTCCTGATGGAAGATCTAAAGACAGCCCATTATACGATTTCTAGAAGAGGATGTCAGCTTTAGCTGTTGGTATTTGATAGAATCCTTGATGTCATGTAGAAGTCCAGGACCTCCAGAAAAAAAAAAAATAAAGATCCAGAGGTATATTTAACCGTACACATTGGGGAACTTTTATCCTTGCTTGCATCAAACCCATCTCATGTGTTTGCTGCCAAAAAGCTATTTTTCTTTCCATCTGACCATAGAACCAGGTCCCGTTCAAAGTTTTAGTAGCGTCTAGCAGCTGAATATGCTGGAATTTGTTTTAGGTGAGAACTGAGGATTTTTCTTGAAACCCTCCCAAACAACATGTGGGGATACAGGGGCTATTGGATCATATTTTAGGCTTTCTGACCCCAAGACTCAACAAATCTCTGCAATTCTCCGTCTGTGAGAGTCTTTGGTCAGTCAAACGTTCCTCCTCACTGCATTAAGACGATATAGACACAGGCAGATTCGTGACATCTTTATTAATTGCCCTGATGGTTTAGCTTTAGCTATTTTCTTACAGCCACTTTCTATTCTGTGAAGCTCAAAAATCTTCTAATGCGCATCAGAACAATATTCTTTGGATTTACTCATAGCGATGGATGTTTAATGGAATTTGGCCTTTGTGTTTCCTCATATTTAAACTCCTGTGAAGCAAGAAGTCATGGCTGGATACTTTCATGCTAGTCACCCTGGTGTGCTAATTTAAAATAAAATATGAATGGGATGAACTTCAGAGATATTTTACTTATAATAATTTCAGGGGGTGCCAATGTGTTTTTGGGGAAAAAAATATATGTGATTTTCCCCCCACTTTCAATTGTTTTACTTCAATGAAATATTTTTTTGCAAATATTTTGATAAAAAGATCAAAAGGATAAACAATACAGATTTATTTTTACAACCATCTTTTATCATATCTACCAAGAATGCCAATCATTCCGAGCATGAGTGTATGTCACGTGTCTCAACGTCCCTCATTTGAAACCTTGAATGACAGTTGACTGGAAGCAATAATTCATATTTTAAAAAGTTAAAAATATCAGTATTTTCCTTACACACACCTGTCGTTTCACTTCAGAAAACATTTATTGATCCGTAAAAACTTTATTTCGATGTTCCACTTCAGACATTCTACTTTGCAACTACATCTGTCAAATGATTAATCGCGATTAATCGCATCCAAAATAAAAGTTTGTGTTTACATAATATATGCGGGTGCACTGTGTACAATTATATATATATATATATATAAATACACACATGCTTGTATATATTTAAGAAATATTTTCATGTATATACTGTATATACATTTATATATAATTTATATTATATATAAATATAAATAATTTATATATAAATAATATTTGTTTCTTAAATATACATGCATGTGTGTGTATTTATATATATACAAAATAAAATAATTATACACAGTACACCCACATATATTATGTAAACACAAACTTTTAACTTTTTAAACGTTTAAAAACTTTTTTTTAAAATGAAAATTTTGAAAAATGAAAAGTTATGTTGGCATGTAGTTGCAAAGTTACTTATAGTCAGTAGAATGTCTGAAGTGGACCATCGATATGAAGTCGACATAAGATATAAGGTTTTTCAAGCGTTGACCGAGTGGCACCCATTCACTTTTATTTATTGGACTCACAGAGATGATTTTTTTTTTTTTTTAAATCTTCAGATTAAATCTGAAGAAAGAAAGTCGTGTACATTGGAGATGGCATGAGGGAAATAAATTGGTGAGAGAATTTTCATTTTTGGGTGAACTCAAATGATTCTCTTTAATTACATATAAAAAGTGTCAATGGAAAAAGCCATCACAGTTTTTTTCTGGTTTGGCATGTATGGGGATATAACAATAAATAAATAGAAAAGCAAACTTCAAATATATTTGCCAAACAAGTTATCCAAAGGGAAGTTAATCTGGGACAAAAATACATTTCATGATTCGATCAATTCCCAAGGAATAAAATCAAGTTGTGTGCTGCATTCCAGTGACTGAAACCCTTCACTTACAGTATACAACTGACACAATCAATACGGCCTGAAATTTAAAAAGATATATAAAGATAACTATAAAGAAGAGCCAACTGTGCAAATGAAATGTAAATTTCACAACGTTTTGGGGCCGAATGGACCATTTGTAAAGTAAATTTTATTAGCTGCACTTTCATTGTTTCAATACGTTCAATCTTTGGAGTTCCCCATAATGATATTGACACAACACATGTTCTTTAATAGGTGGATTTATGGAATTTCATGCAATCGGTTAGGTATTTTGTGTGATTACAGTGATCCGTTTCATAAGAGCCTCTCAAATGTACTAGCAACCTGCTGTTACATCTGCTCATGACATCTGAAAATGTGAAAAAACTAAATCAAAATCTGTTTTAAAGTTTGTGCTATTCTATATAAAAAACACAGCACAGCATTTTAAGGTAAACTATTGGTGATAATAAAAATATTTCACTTCTATACCACCTAATTTTAGTGTAAATCAGTTAAATAAGATAACCTAAGATAAGGTTTTTTGTTTTTTTGCTGAAAAATATAACTAACTGTAAGCGTCACATAAAAATGTATAAAATTTTAAAAACAGATATTAAGTTTTAGCATGTATAGCTTGCCCTCGCTCTCATATCTGTGTGTGTGTGTGTGTTGCTCTGTGAGAGGCTGAGAACGTTTAATCCAATACAGTGTTGTGAGGTCAAAATATGCTTGTCTTTAATAGTTGATTTGATTTTTAAGAAAAATAAGTTGATTTAGGGAAGCGGGTCCGAGCTCATTTCCTGCCTGTGCCTCTTCTACATTTTGACTTGCATTATTTGTGTTGTTATGGAGGTTGATTGAATCAAATACATCAAATCATTTGATATGGACTCTTCATATGATATGAGTGTACTTGATTTCACTTGGAAACTGCTATAAGGGTCCAAAATGAACTTAATTTGATGAAGGAGGGTTTAACTGGCCATTTTCAATTCTGGCCATTTTGGCTAGTTACGAAACCTTACGCATCGTGACCTTCTTATGAAAGCTTGTTTCTGCCACGGAAAAGGCGACTGTGACTTTTTATCTCACAATTCTGACTTTTTTCTCTTAGTTGCGAGTTTATATCTCACAATTTAAACTTTATAACTTGCAATTCTGAGTTTATATGAAAAAAGCCAGAATTGTGAGTTTATTTGAGACTCTGCAATTCAGAGATTTTTATTGATATAAACTCAGAATTACCTTTTTTTTTATTGCATGGCGGAAACAACTTCTGTACCTTCCAACCCTCACTGAAATAAGCGAATCAAAGACACAAACTGACTTTAAAAAAGAAAAGATTTAGCCTCTTCTAACAAATTTACCATCAGAAAATAAACTAGGATGCTGCCGTTAAGCCAGCAAAACAGAAATATGAGCAACAAAGTCGTAATGGGTCTAGAATTTTTTGTTTGTTTTTGTGAGAGCTGGTGTTTTACAAAGAGATTCACTTGTATGTGATGCTTGAGCTGATGAGGAGTCAACGCAAAAGAGCCAACTCAAAAGAGTCAACTCAAAAGAGTCTAGGATAAGAACTGATTCTTTTAGTAAAATCATTGATTCCTCCAGTCTTCAGTGTCAAGAAACATTTCTTATTATTACCAATGTTGAAAACAGTTGTGCTGCTTAATATTTTTGTGGAAACACGGATACTTTTTTTATTCAGTATTCTTTTCGATTGAAGATTTCACAATCCCACTATTGACAGCTAAGGCAAAAAGTTCATTTTGGACCCTTGATTGATATGTTTTTTTAATGACGACAGGCATGTGAAATGAATGGAAAATATCGAAAAGCCATACATATCCACTATCAATGTTGAAATGTAAGATGCATTTCTATCCGAGCTGTGCTTTTCGTTCGCCCTTCATGAAGTTGACTGAACTATCTGAGAATAGGCACATGCTGTTCTCTAATGCTACTTACGGGACACTACAGCCTCAGTTACCGCTATGAAAACGTATTGGCATGATTTGCAAAGGATGAATAAATCATGTGATGTAGGAGAGCAAACCTGCCCATTCCATTTCATTCCCGCCCCCGTTCCCTGTAGTTCCAGTAGGGCGGTGCGCCTCAGTCGCCCCATAGCTGCTCCGTTATGAGTTCGAGTTTGCAGAGGAACCAGCGTCGCATGGGGCAGTAGTACTCGTAGTGGAACTGCTCGAACTCGGGCGTCTGGCGGATGTCATGCAAGAAGGAGATGTCCAGGTCCGACTCCAGCAGGACGAGGAGGAGGGGAAGAAGAATCACGAGGAGACCGATGGCCATCACCACCAAACGTGCGGCACTGCTCAGGCAGGCCTGGATCTGGTGCCGCCCGCTCGACGGGTTACACAGCGACTGCCGAAACGCCTCTCTGGCGAGTTCCCTCTCCCTCTCCGCGTGGAGCTCCGCCTGCATCTCTGGATCCGCGTGCAGCTCCTTCAGCAAGCGCGCGGGACTCTGGAACAGCAGGTCTAGGCCGCCCTGACCCTCCTCCACCGGCGTCGGGACCATGCTGGCGCACGGGCTGTACGCCGTGTCAGATATGGTGAGGGTGCTGCACCCGTCGTCTTCGTTGTCTACGCGGATCTCTCTCCTTTCCTCGTCTGCTCTCGTCCTATTGGCTGCCTCGTCTTCTCGTCTGCCCTGACCGTGGTTTTCCCTCTCCTCTACCTCTGCTTCCTCAGGGGTGACCGACGGTTTCAGTGGGGACAGATGGACAGATTCTTTCAAAGCCGAGAGTCCTGCGGAGTGAACAATTGGTTGTGTTAGACACTAAAAACTCACAGGATTCCGACGACATTTCCTGAACGACATACGGGTCATTGTCAGGATAGCCATTATTATAGCTACATCTAAAATCGGGAGGATCACTTGTTAATAATGATAATTCATTACATTTACATGGAAGGGGGGAATCTCCTTATAGGGATTAGTGGGATAGTTCACTTTGAAATACATTTTTGGTATGTTTTAGCTTACCTCAAGGACATCCAAGATGTAGGTGTCTTTGTTTCCGCAGTAGTTTCAAATTTGATATTTTTAGGTCAAACTGTTCTTGTCTGTCAGTCATATAATGCAGGTCTATGGTCACCACCTCAAAGAGCATGCACAGAGAAGTCCAAATTAAACATGATTTAATGACTCGTAAATGTAAGAACACATTGATGGCCTAAGACACGAAACGAGCGGTTTGTGTGAGAAAACAAACAGTATTTATATCGTTTTTACCTCTTTAAACCACAGCCACGTCCAAGTGATCTGAGGGCGCAGGCGCTATAGGAAGAAGTTATCTTTCGCACAGTTGCGAAAAAAATTCAACGTTATCAGTTGATATTTCGAAATCGTCTTCCATTGCAATTTCCTGTATATCTAAATATGTTTAGATCTTCACAGTGAAAGGTAACACTTCCACTTCAAGACCGAAGCGCCCGCACATTCAGATCACTTGGACGTGGCTGTGTTTACAAGAGGTAAAAACGATATAAATACTGTTCGTTTTCTCACACAAACCGCTCGTTTCGTGTCTTAGGCCATCAATGTGTACTTACATTTACGAGTCATTAAATCATGTTTAATTTGGACTTCTCTGTGCATGCTCTTTGAGGTGGTGACCATAGACGTGCATTATATGACTGACAGACAAGAATGGTTTGACCTAAAATATCAAAATTGAAACTACTGCGGAAACAAAGACACCTACATCTTGGATACCCTTGAGGTAAGCTAAAACATACCAAAAAATGTTAACCACCATCAATGTGCAGCATCACCTGGATGATGCGACGGCAGCCATATTGCGCCGGACGCCCACCACACACCAGCTTATTGGTGGAGAGAAGACAGCATGATGAAGACAATCAGTATATATGGGGATGATTAGGAGGCCATGATGGACAGAGGCCAATGGGACAATTTCCCAGGATGCCGGGGTTACACCCCTACTCTTTTTTCGAAGGACATCCTGGGATTTTTAATGACCACAGAGAATCAGGATCTTGGCTTTATGAAAGTTTTTAAAAGATTACCTAGAATTTGTTTCTGATTAGATTAATTCTTTTCTATTTTCTAAAATGTTTAATTAATTTTCAGACAGTTTGTTTAACCTCAATATGACGTGACATTTCCCCCTTCATATTTCGGATTATTATTATTATTTTAAGTTATGCGTATATTTAACCTTGCACCTCAGTTTATAAGTAACTATATACACACACACACACACACACGTACAGTATATAACATTCACTGCACACAACATCCTTTGAGCTAACTAAAATATTATTATGTCATTGTGGCTTACAAACTATTCCACAGTTTAAAGCTTTTGCTCTTGTAGTGTGCATGTCGTATATGTTTATAAAGGCATGGCTGAAGCCTGTGTTCTTTAGACAAGTCCCATCTAAATATAGACCCAGCTGCCTGGGTAGTGTGGATTAAGACAAGTCTCCCGGCTAAGTTACCACTGACGTCGATGCTTCTCCATGCAACTATTCTCTAACACACACACAGACCTCTGTGATGACATCTAACATAACCATCTTCTCATTTCCCAATGATATTTTAACATAGCTCCTATTGAAAAATAATTCATGTTTCTTCACATTGAAACTAGATTGTTGGATTGAAAGCAAAGCATCAATTCCACAATTAGTAATTAAATGATCTATAATTGACAGGAGGTACTAGATTTCAGGGCATCAGCATTGACAGCCACTTAACAGTGCCTGAAATGTAATATTTGTCAAACTAATTGGATAATCATGGGTTATCTATTGAACACCTTATACAGAAGCACACTTAAGCAAGTAGATGCAGGCATGGGCAAAAAGAAGATGTCACCATGGCGACATAGAGAGCCGTTTAGCCCAGGAGGATGTAACAGTCATCACTAGCAACAGGCCGTCGTGGTTACCATGGCAACAGATAGATGCAACAATAACTTAATATGAGGGTGATTTTTGTAAAGAACGTGAAAGATGTTAAAAAAGAAAATGATGTCATTTTGCACAAAATTAGACATCCCCTGCCCTCCACTCAAATGACAGAACTTGATTTTTCCATTTTTTTTTTTTAAGAAAATTGTTAATTTCCTGAGCAAAATGATTGCAACCTAGCAACCTTTTTTTGGAAAAAAAAAACAAAACAACAACTGTTAATTCTTTAATCACTTATGTTTAGTAAGCCACAAAGTTTAATAATTTAATTTGGATCCAATCACTCAGGTTTACATTAAAATTTTCCCCAGCAGTGTAATAGATTTTGTCTTTAGATAAAATATCCTTTAAATTAAGTCAGATTATATTTTAGTCAATTATTCTCTAATGTAAATCTAAAATATTATCAGAGAAATGGAAATGAATATCTGAAAAATATTTGTATAAACATTTAACAAAAAATCCCAACATTTACCAAAAGCTCCTGAAATAACATTATAGTGACCACACTATTGTACTACAATGTTGTGAATTCCTTTGGTTTAGTTATTCATTTTCTATGTTTTAGTGTTGGCTTAATACATGCATTTTTGTCAACCCTTTGGTCATTAATTTTATTATATTATTAATGACAAGTTAGGATCCAAAGTAGGATCGAGACTTTTAAGATGCCATTAAAAAATAATCTTCTATGTTATGTTCAAAAAGACAACATTGTATTTTGGGGTGACAGATCCCATTAATTTTTCTGAATGATCCCAGGTTGCTTGTCAATGAAGAAATCAAGTAGGAATCATCATTTTAACCATATTTTGGAAGCTTCCATACCGGTTCCTGAGATGCGATTTCCATGGCCAAGCAAACGCACATATACGTCTCGTGCTGTGTAGTTGGCCATGCGGAGTTGCAGGTTGTGACGCGTGGTGATCTTCACCTGACAGCGAATGGCATCCGCCCGCTCTTCCAAACTTTCATCCAAAACCGCATTCAGAAATTCATCGGCATCCTCTTGTAGATATTCCTCAGCAACAACTTCACAACCCACCACACTGTGAACACCATGCTCCCCCTGCTCTCCGAGAATCTCCATATCTGACCCCCTCCACACCTCCCTCTCAATCCCAACCTCACTGCACAACGACCTTCTCACAGCTTCTGTCTGGTTGAATGATGTCAAACACTCTCCCTAACTCATCTGGCTGGGTTAATGCTGTAATAAATCACACACACCCACAGGATGGGGGTCCTGCCGGCCCCTTTCCTTCACCGGATAGCGGGCATGTCGACAGTGTTAACAAAGTCGGGGCATTAGGGGTCGGATCAGCCCAAATGCAGGATGAGCTATTTATACAGCATCAGTCATAGCACAAGGCTTTGCTAATCACAGAGGCTGATTATGGTGAAAAGATCCACTCCGGAGTACAGTACAGCTTGCATACATCACACTCATCCTGATCTGAGGTGTCATGCCGTAGTCCCTGAACAATCTCTTTTTTAATACTTTATTAAAGAGGCATGAACCCCCCTGTTTCAGTTCTCACCACCGTTTTGAAAATGCTACAAAAGTGGCCGTGGCAAACAACAGAGTCAAGAGGGACACAACAATAACTTCTGATTCAGACAAAGGGCTGGATTATTACAATATTTTTGGCATAAAATACAATAGCGAGATTTATTGCGATAACCATTTACCATTAATGGGAAAGGAAATGCTTTCCCCATATTTGTTAGAGCTTGAAGCTTATAAACACAAGAGGTAATCAGAGTAGAAACAGAACAGCTGTGCCAAACTAATTAACAACCAATGAGACTAATTAGTGAGCTAAGGAAAACAGAATCACAGAAACTGAGCCGAGACAGCACATACATGTTACAGTAGGAGGTAGGTGTGGAGCTGGTGATGGACAGGAGTCGGTGGAGACAGATAAGTCAGTGGAGAGAGACACCATGGTGGAGTCAACAGTGGGAGGAGCATGGACTGAAGGCCTGGCTGGAACCCATGGACCGATTGACGAAGGTGGAACCAGGGTGCATGGAGTTTAGAGATGATGAAGGATCACAGCGACATCCACGGCCCATAATCCCAAGGTGGAGCTGCTGGTTTATGGGACCGAGGCGGAGACAGGGGCTCAGCAGAATGTTGCTACGACAGCGGAAGTGAGGATGACAGGGAAGCCGGAGAAGCTTGGTGGAGCCAAAAGGGTAAATGTAGTAAAGGGTCGCCTTGAGATTACAGTTGGCGACTGACTGAGCCAGAACTTTGAGGAAGCCTGGAGGAGTCCTTGGGCTGACAGACCGCAGTAGAGTCGAGGGAGTGCAGAGCCAATGGGCTGACAGACCGAGGTGAAGACATGGGCCTAGAGCCTTGAGGTGAAGTCGGGGAATCCTCATATTAAAGCCGAGCTGTTGATGGGGAAGCCCGAGGCGAATCCGATGGGCCGCACAGTTAGGGCGCAGGCAGAGTCGAGGGGAATGGAGACACCGGTAGAGCCGACAGAACCAGCGAAGAAGATGGGACCAGGAATCGGGTGGGAACATTTGACGAGGAAGAATTCAAGACAGGACCAGAGCATGCCGGCCAGGACCGGCGTGGAAGTTGAAGACTCGAGGCTGGGGACTCAGGAGGAAACTGGATCTGGTCCTCTCCTGGCTCTGAGATGGACTTAACACAGCACACTTCGCCTACAAGGAGACCCAGGTAGGAGGCTCTAGCACTTGTTCTGTGGTAGGCCTGGGCTTTTCTGCCTCACATTTGTTGAACGGGGAGTCATCCAGCTGGAGCACCGTCATACCAATATACCTCCAGC